GGTCTGGTCATGTGAGAGCAGGAGCACAGACGCACCAGTGAGAAGGTGTGAGAGGTTGACATTGGAGGGCCTATGTAGAGGTAGAGGTAGGCCAAAGAAGAGGTGGGGTGAGCTGATTAGGCAAGACATAGTGCAACTTCAACTAACTGAGGACATGACCCTTGATAGGAAGATATGGAGGTCGAGGATTAGGGTAGTAGAGTAGGTAGTCTAGAGTATTCATAACTGTAGTATTGGCACACAGTCTCGTTTTCTGTTGTAGTAGATTTTTATGACTAACCATCATTTTCTTTCATTGTTGATCACCTTATTGTCTTGTTGTTTTTATTATGCTTTTATATGGCTTTTTAATATTGTCTCTTTTTGTCTATATTTCATTAATATGATGTTTATGCTTTCTTGATTCGACGGTCTATTGAAAACGACCTCTCTATCCTCACAAGTTGGGGTAAGGTCTGAGTACACACTATCATCTCCAGACCCACAGTGTGAGATATTACTGTATATGTTGTTGTTGTTATTGTTATAAATACCGCTACAAAAATTGAAGCGGAGAAAGTATTTTTCTTGAACAAACAACAATAAATACACCACATAAATTTAGATACAAGTACTCAAATATTGAATTGGTGACTGATAATATGCAATAACTATCACGGATCCTATGATGAATTTGATATTGGGACTCGTTTCTGATTCTACTCTGCACCTTTTTGTTTGGTTCTTAAATAGTAAGATGAGTTGTGCACGGCCTTGAAATTTTGAAAATCAGATTGCAAAATTTTATTTTTCCTGCCCACCGAGGAAACGGCCAACCACCTCTTTCTCGTGGAGCCCACTTAAATGCCAGGTGGACCAGTAAGATTTTAGAAGTAACAATCAAGGGATGGTCCAGTCTAGTGGGGCTGTAAAGGTATTCAGGACGTGTGTCAGGCCCAGCTTTTTCAAGCCCATAATAAAGCCCAAATTACGTTTCCCAGTAAACCTAGTTCTGCGTACTGACGTTAGCTATCAATATCCACCATCTTTTTTTGTACTAAAGTACGAATACTAAATTTGGATTCATGCAAATTAATTTCCACTTTCTACAAATAAGTAGAATATATATATATATATATCAAATTATTTAATTTATTGTCTCAATTCAGACTCGATATCCTAGTCCTTTTTAAACATATTTAGGATAAACCAAGATATCATAGGATTAGCTATCCCGTATGCGATAACTAATTCTACCATGTTAGTGTAAAATTTATACTAAAATTAGTTAATACCGATAATCAAATATGAGATAAATACAATCTCATATTTGATTTTCTTGGTTTATAATATAATAGTCATACTTTTATATTAAAATTTTCAATGTATCAAAAGACTGTATCAGAATGTCATTTGCCAGAAGGCAGTACCAGAATGACATCACCTTTAATGATCCTCTACCTCAGCAAAATGCTAGAAAATGAAAGCTATAATATATTGAGTGGGCTCGTAATGAATAATAAGTATAGGAAATTGCAATCTTTTTTTCTTTTTAACTATAGTTAACTGGAGAAAGAAAATCTATGTGATTAACAAAAGAGTGCAACAAAATTCAGACTTGCGATTCTATTTTTCGAATTGTGATATTACACCTGTTTGAATAAAAGTCTTGCATGCAAATTGTTAGTATATAGTATATGGCTATGTTGGTCCAAAAAAGGTTCTACTTACCAAGACGTGACCTAATCTCTCTTCCAAACTTATAAATTAGCTTCAAGTTATAACATGTTACCGGTAAATATCTATTCGTATGAGTGTTTATACCAAACAAATAAATATATGACACACATTTTCATAAACATAATTATCACTGAAGCATAATTTATTATTGTATATTTTCACCTCAATCTATAACTTAATCATGGTAAATTAATATTATGATTTGGGGTAAGCACCTGGTAGAAAGTTTTTACTGAGATGTGACCTCTAGAATGGAGGTGTCCAATTATTTGAGTTGTTATATATGTTACTTAGGAAAAGCAAAGTATTGCTTGCACCTTTGAAATAGTTTTGCTTGCTGGATGATGTCATCCAAAATGTTTTCGAAACGGAGCCATGACATCAACAGACATTTTGACCATCAAAATCGGATTTGTTCTCATATATAGCCCATATGTTCATTATTCTTCAGGAATAATTGCTCCCACAGCCACAAGGCTGCCTCAAGTTGGGCTCCTATTAGTCATAAGTAGGGGTGCTTATCGGGCGGATTGGGCAAATAATTATACTTAACGGTTCGGTTTACGATTATCGGATTATAAATATAGTAATCCGCTAGCCATTCAATAAGACAACGGGTGGATTGGTATTAGATTAACAATTATCGTACGGTTATTGGACGACTTATCGACTAAACCAAATAAATTTTTTTTGAACAATCATTCAATCAATACCAAGACTACACATACTGTCATACACATATTAACCAACATATATTCATTTCGTCCTTATATTCTCACACCTTCACTTTACGGTTTACACACCCCAAATATACGCAAAATGCATAACACATGCACATTCTAGGCATTCTCAATTACACATACATCGCATTTCATCAATACCAAGATTACACATATTGTCATACATATATTAGCCATATTTGGAAAACCAGAAAAGCACATTAGTTCAGTAATCAGTCAAACTTTCAAAAGGACATTCATTCATAATCAATCAAACATTCACATTCATTCTTCACAAGAAAAAAGGACATTCGTTATTCCAGAAAAGCAGACGGACAAAAATGACATAAAACTAGACAATAGGTTAAGCTGTTAATATAACGGTAAAATTGTAAATATAAAAATTCTTAACAGATTAACGGTTTCCCGATAAGAAAATTGAGTAATCTGCCCCCAAACCGTTAAGCCGCTAATTATAAAATCTCAATCCGTTCCCCATCCATTATCCCGATAATCCGATACCAATAGGCCAATAAGTCATTGGTTCGGTTCGATTAACGATTTCGGTTTGGCTTTGAACAGCCCTAACCATAAGCACCAAATCTAGAACCCTTTTGGATTAGCTGATAGTAAATAGCTGATAAGCTTGAAGTACTGAAAAACATTCTTAAGTGCTAAAACTGATTATTTAAATAAGCATTTACGTGTTTGGACAGACGTGTTGAAACTGATAATAAGCAGTTGATGTATTTGGTAGAAAAGTACTGATAAGTTATTATTTTATTAAAATGAAAATATCCTTAAAATTTTTACAAATAAATTAAAAAGTTTCTTTGTAAATAAAATGATGAACAACGAACATGGAATGAAAAGAAAGTTAAAAAATTTATTTTGGAAAAACTATTTTGTGAATTAAAAAATATTATTAAGGATAAACTAATAAAGCCTTGGTCAAAATAAAAGTGCTTATAAGCTAAAAACCATAAATTGGGGGTGATCAGCTTATGACTTATGGCTGATTTTAGCTTTAAGCACTTTGGGTATTTACCAAAAGCGTAGATAAGCCAAAAATGCTTATAAACCAATTTGACTAGCTTATAAGCTTAGCCAAATACTCTTTTAAACAGTAAGGAGTCGTTTGGTAGGATGCATTAAATAAAATAATGCATGCATTAGCTTTGTGTATTAATAATGCCTTGTTTGGTACGCATTTTGAACCTATGCATTAGTTATACACCATATTTGGTATTATCCTACGCATAACTAATGCATAGAAAACCATGGTATTAACAATGCAATGGATTTTAATGCATGCATTAGCTTAGTTAAAGGCAAAATTGTCCTTCAAAATTTATGCTTAATTAAATATGTTATTATATTAATGCAAGTTTGAAATAATCCAAATAGTGAGAATAAAATTATATCCCTAGTAAATAAATAAATATTTAGCATATTTTATTTTTGTAAATAAATATTCAGTTCTATACTACAATATGGGTAGACAAATCAAATAATTTTTTTAAAACTTTTTTCATATAAAAATATTCTTCTACATATGTTTCTTTTAAAAAGATAGAGTGATGGAATGATTTTGAGTGCATGTTTGTAAACAAACAATTCTTTTAGAAATTTTGTAATGTTTTAATACATCAAACCAAATAATGAATAAGAAATATGTCAGTATAATTAATATACCTTATTTAACATTATTCTTATGCACCCTACCACCCCTAAGCAGTATGATTTTGATGAGAATATGCCACCTGAAGTGGGTGTTGCCAATCCAGCCTCTAGGACAAGTGGGGCAAAATTTAAACAAATAGGTCGCTGATACAATATGCAATCTACAGTTAAATATTACCACGAGCCTTTTTATTTTCCTTTTTGTAGTATATAATGATGTTACTGAATTGCCTTATAGAGCAACGTTACCCAATTTTGCATTGAATTTGTACATAAACATCTACTGCTTTCTCATCCAATTTTTTTTTCTTTCCAAAAATTTCAGGCTCTATGTATTTTGTCTTAATTTCAAAGGAAAAAGAAGATCATGCAAGAGGTGAGAGGGAATGGGGATAATTGTTGGTTAAATAGGGTGAATTTTACAGGATTGAACTAATAACGAATGGACATGATTGACCAGAAATCAAGGGAAACCCTTGAAATTCTTTGCAACCAAAATCCCACGATATGATCAGATGAGGCATCATTATTGCTTTCCATATCCATCATATCCTCTCCACCTTCAAAATGGATAGAATGAACTCATATGGTTAATTACAACTAATTTAGGATTGAAGCATAATTGATTGACTAAGTCTGAGTCTAATTAATTGACACAATATTGGCATATGTGAAGCTGACGGTGTATATCTAGATGTCGTGTATATCTAGATGTCTAGCTCATATCCAGCTGTACAAGAGTCAGTTGTAATTTATCGTTAGTTGGTTATTAGTATTGTTAGTGCACGTATTAGTTTGTTAAGATGACACATGTATATAAATACACAAATGCTCAATAATAAGTATGAGATATCATTTCCTTTTTTAGAAAATATTTTTCCCTTCTCCCTAGAAATTTCCGCCATTGTTACTCAATCGAGCTTCTCAACTGTGAAGCAAGTTTTTTCATGGTAGCAGAGCAGGAGATACTGGAATCTCACGCGATCTAACCTCTGATTAGATTTGTTCTCTGCTTTGTTTGTTCACAGTAACTTCGAAGCTTGTTCTCTTCAATAATGGGCGATACATCTACTTCCTCGTCAGTGGAAGAAACTGTGATCGACCACACTTATTTTCTATATATTGGTCCGTTTTACACTCCTAGTCCAGTAATTATTCCTATTATGCTCACAAGATCAGAGAATTACGGTCTATGGAGCTGGTCAATGCGGATTACACTTATGGGGAAGAAGAAGTTAAGATTCATCACAGGAAAGTGTAAGAGAGACTCGTACACAGGTGACTTGCTGGAGCAATGAGAAACTTGTAATGCGATCGTTCTTTCATGGATAATGAACAATGTTTCGGCAGAACTCCTTGGAGGAATTGTCTATGCATCAGATGTTCACCTCGTTTGGGAAGACTTGCGAGAGAGATTTTACAAAGTCAATCGAGTGCGAATTTTTCAATTACACAGGGAAATTGCGACCTTATCACATGTCACTAACTCTGTTTCGGTATATTTTTCACGGTTAAAGAAACTTTGGCCTGAATATGATGTATTGGTGCCTTTTTCTGATTGTGGCTATCCAAAATGAAGGGATCACGTGGATTAAATGCATCAACAAAGAGTTATGCAATTTCTGAGCGGCCTCAATGATTCCTATGATCAATCAAGGCGATAGATCCTTATGAAGACTAATACGCCTAATCTCAATCAAGCTTATGCGACGATAATTCAAGATGAAAGCTAACAATCTGTTGGAGCTACTGTTCTATCAAATAAAATGGATCCTATGGCTATGCTATCTTAAAGAATCGAAGGATTTAAAGGAAAAAAATAATTTCTTCAATGTGAACATTGTGGGATGAAGGGTCACACAAAAGAAAATTGCTATAAAATCATTAGTTATCCTATGAATTTCAAGCCTAAGAAGAAATTTGGGGCAGGAAACTCGGATGGCTGGAGAAGAGAGCCTCTTGCAACATTCAACAGTGTTGAATGATCTTCTTCATTGCAACGAGCTAGAACTAATCAAGGAACATCTGAACACAAAGGCCACTATTTTTTTTACTGATGAGCAATATAAGCAAATTTTGGAGCTGTTGAACAAAAAACCAGGAGAGAACCAGGCCAATTGTACAAAGGAGAATCATGCTAACTTTGCAGGTATTGTCACTTGCTAGATGTCTGAGAATACACCAAAGGAATGGATCATAGATTCCAGTACTACTCATCATATTGCTGGTAGTTTAAAAATGTTACAAGGTTCTAAGATTAATAAAGTGCACCTACCAATAGGGGAAGTAACTGATATCACACACGTTATTAATGTAAACTTGTTTGACAAAGATGTTGTTTAGAATGTTTTATATACGCCTAACTTTAGGTTCAATCTACTGTCAATATCAAATCTGACCAAAGAGCTTTTTTGTGCTGCCATATTTTTTCTGATTTCTGTGTATTTCAGGATCTTTACAGTGACATGGTGAAGGGGATTGGTAGAGAGAGATGAGGCATATACATTCTTAAGGAGAATTCAGATGCAAACAGACTTGCTAGAATAAGAGTTGTTGTAGTAAGCAATTACAGTGAAGAAGGCAATCTATGGCACATGAGGTTGGGTCACCCATCTGTTACAACTATGAAGCATAAAGAACACTTAAGGAATAAAGTTAGTAGCACTATACAAAATGATTGCCGTGTATGTCCACTAGCAAAGCAGTCTAGATTACAATTTTCAATCAGTAGTGTAGACACTAAAATTTTAACAGATCAAGATGAGTCCTATTTTTAAGATAACTCTTGGAATATTAAGAGTCTATTAGGGTTACTTGGTGGTTACTTCACCCAAACCCTAATTTATGCGTATAAAAAGGCTACATGTATCCTTCAAAGACGGTCTCAAAATTCCCATAAACTCTTGGGATATTCACAAAGAGATCAAAATATGGCCGAATACTTCTTGAGAATCAAATAATTCAAGAAGCTGGAGATCAAATATATATCCAGGAGGTCTGCCCATCCTACATTCGAGAAATACGTTGCTTCAACCCTCGAATCACGGAGATAATTAAGAGATAAGAATCAAGGGAGAAACAGAATTGTACTCGCAATTGATTACTAAAAATATTTTTCTCGTATTTTGTGATTGCAGTTTATTTTTCATATGTTAAAAATTAGTTGCAAACAAGTAGTTCTAGAGCTGTTTTGCCATTGAATCTTGTATATCTAGACCTTTGGGGACCCTATAAAGTGCCTACTTTCGACAGAAAGCATTACTGCTTAACTTTTGTGGATGACAATACTAGATACACATGAATTTATCTTTTGCAATTAAAGTCAGAAGTTATAGTTATTCTAAAGCAGTTTTTGGCCATGGTTAAAAATCAGTTTGGGACTAAGATTAAGGTGATAAGATCCGACAATGGAACATAGTTCTTTAACTCTCAATGTAATACATTGTTATATAATTTTGGGATAATACATCAGAGTAGTTGCCTATATAGTCCACAACAGAATGAAGTTGTGGAAAAGAAGCATATGCATATCCTAGATATGGCAAAGGCCTTGAAGTTTTAGGCAAGTGTCCTATAAGGTACTAGGGTATATGTGTGCAAGCAATAATCTATTTGATAAATAGGCTACCTTCTAGAGTTTTGAATGGTAAGTTTCCCTATGAGATGTTATATCATAAGAAACCAACTCTTGGACACATCGAAGTTCTAGACTATTTGTGTTATTCTACAAGGTTGGTCAAGGGAGACAAGTTTGCACAAAAGGCTAATGCAACAGTACTTCTTGTTTTTTCACAAACCAAAAAGGGCTATATATTACTGGATTTGTCTTCTAATCTATTTTTTGTAAGCAGGAATGGTGGTGTTCAAAGAGACAATCTTCCCTTCCAAACAAAAGTCTCCTCCAAAGATGTGCCTTCCAAGTGTTGTGCCAAGGCATCTATGTGCTGATAATCCCTTGACACCAATAGAGACAACACACACATCATATATGCAGTAGGTTCGAGTACCTACACTTGCCGAGACAAAAGAACATCCCTTCATTGAAGTCGAGCATGAACAAGATGATATAAGTGAGGAATTGGGGCACAAGCAAGGTGTTGAAAATGTAGAGTTGGAGAAAGATTTGGATCAAATTCCTGCAGCAGAGACTAGCATTCTTGTTGTTGATGAAAGAAGAAAGACAACTAGAGAATCCAAACAGCCTATTTGGATGAAAGATTATGTTACACATCCTCCAAAGGTACATTGCCTTTACCTCATATCAGACAATCTATCTTATGCAAAAACCTCAGTGAAATATCAGTGCTATCTTGCTAAGTTCTCGTCACTTGTGGATAGGGATGACAAACGGTGCGGGGCAAACCCGCGAAGACTCCAACCCGCCCCGCAAAATAAAATTTGTTATTTTTAATCGCCCAACTCGCCCCGCGCACCCCCCCCGCATATTATTTTAATTTGGGAAAATTATCAAAAGATACCACATTCCAATGTAATATATTCTTCTTTTTAGATAAATTTTATGCAATTTTTCTTCTTTTGTTGATGTTAACTCCACTTACTACATGTAGTTATCTTTTCCTCCTATCTTTTTAATATTAATGCAAGAACGTAGACTCTGTACTACTTGAAGTGTATGTCACTTTCATTATAAATATTGATTAATCAAATATCAATTGACCACTGCTCTGAGATGTCTAGGCATTTTCCTTTGGCAGCAAATAATATTACTACCACGTTCATAAATTTTATTGTAGCGTTAATGGAGGTTGAGTTACGAGCAAATTTCAGCCAACTACGATATCTACATGCAAATATCAAGACTTATACGTTAAATGTCTACTTCCCGTTACAAATAAGAAAAGGAGTATGACTACTTCCAGATACGAATATATAACTATATAAGTCAAAGAGTTAAATCACATTAGGATGAGTAGCTGCAAAAGTCATCGTTTGTGGAAAAATGCTGGTGGTCCATTCAGGCTTCGTGCACCATCTATTGATTGGAAAATCACAGGGCGACATCAAAAGCGTCGTAGCATGGTAAAATGATTACAAGAGCAGAGTATTAAGATATGAGATATCTATTAGTCTATTACAAATTGTGAGAACTCCAAAATAGTTGAACCAAAGTTAGGATCATGAATCATAATCTTAGACTACTTAGTATAGACAACTGCTTTTTGAACACCAAGGGAAACCAGCTTCAATCTTCCATTTTTCCTTATTTTTATCAGAAATCTCCTACCTCCTTCTTATACTATTATATCTTCTTCTTCATCAAGCATCGTCGGACATGAAACTCTATCAATGCTTGAACTCGAACCTAAAAAAAGTATAATAGTATAAGAAAGTGAATACTACTATTAACATAGTAAGTCATTAAAAAAGTTACTTACCATTTATCTCGTTCCATAACCAAGTGCGAGCACACATCAAAGCCTCCAAAGTAGTAGGATGAAGTCTACTACGATGCAGGATAATCAATCTCCCACTAGTGCTAAAGGCCGATTCTGAAGCAACGGTAGAGTCAGGAATGGCTAAAAGGTCACGAGCTATCTTTTGCAAAGTAGGAAATTTTAATCCGTTTGTCTTCCTCCAGCTTAAACTGTCAAGTGATGCCGTACGAGGTAGCACACCTTCTTCTAAATATAACTCCAAATCCGATCTTGGGTCCACATTCGCGCTACTCGAAGCTACAAACCTATCAAAACTAGACAGTCGATCACCCTCAACAACACTAGCAACTTCATTAGAACTAGATGCTTGAAATGACTCATGTGAAGCAACCACTCTACTCGTATACTCTTGAAAGAGATCAAAATAATGGTTTTGAACTTCTTGAATTTTATGTAAAGCTTCTTCACCATAAATCTGTTGCGGAAGCCAAATGTATATAGTGTGAATAAGTCACAACTACTATACCAAAAATTATGACAGCCACCAAATAATAAATAAGACAATAAAGCAACAATAAAAGGAACACCAGAATTTACGAGGTTCGGCTAATTTTGCCTACTCCTCGGACACAACCAATATTTTATTCCACTCCAAAAATACAAGTGAAATAATACTAAAGAGAGAAGATACAAATGTCTTAAACAGATGAGAAGGCAAATGAGAGGTGTGTATAAATCCTAAACATTAGGCCTTCTTTTATAGGGGGAAAATCCCCCCAAACTCAAGAGTCCACCGATGTGGGATAAAGAATTTGCCAAACTTCAACAAATCTCCACCTTGACAAAATTCCACATCTTCAATTTTANTCTTCTTCTCCAATAACATCTGGTCTCTTTTCTTCAATGACAAGATCTAGCCCTTGTTGAAAAAAGACATCTAGAATCTCGCCTTGCCACATTCCAAAATGCCCGGACCTGTCAAAAATTTCTACCGCAAATTTCGCATTTGACACAATTCTTGCCATAAGCGAAGATGCCAATGATGACGTATTGTTGACACTTGATATAGATTCTTCTTGTTTATTGTCTCCCATATTTGACACAAATATTATTTAATAGCTGACGACACAAATCAAGATTATTTCCTTTCTGATGTAGAAGATCAGACTAAGCTGCAACCACAGAGCATACTCAGACAGAACCTTGACTCAGTTACCAAGATAAATCTTTTCTGATGTAAGATCAGACTAT